ATATAGGCATGCCAACTTACAAGTTTCGCATATAACATAAATAGTTAATTATCATACATGTTAGGCTTGTTGCTTCGTAACTGTGAATATTTGGTATAATCTGCTAAGCACAAGGATTAGACATAGATCCTACATATATGACATCTAGGCTCACAACATACTACACTACATAATTAAACGTCCCCACCCATTCGTAAATGAGGTTTGCCTGTGTTGACATATGTGCATATATACTAATTATGTGGCTATCTGAATCTGCACCCGCGTGATATGTGCCTCTCATTTAGGTACATAAATAATTATATGATCCCGTACAACTTGTGATCCTATATGTTAAATCATTATAAAATAATTAAATAAAGATCATGTCATGTGTGAAACTTCTATGTTATGCATTAGTCACCCGTAAAACTTACATATCGTGTGTTGCATATTCGTGACCATGTTATTTGGTGCATTTTGCCAGCACAATAGTCAGGCTCAAACCCAGTGAATCTATATGCGTATGTGTATATACTTCTCATATAATGCCTTCCTTATAAACTACTATACTAATTCGGGCTCTTTACCCCAAAATGATTTCCAAGCTTCGGGGACGAAGCTTCTTGTAAGGGGGGAGAGTGTAACACCCCGTGTTATGGCCGTTAAACCCGAATTAATTACTTAATTAATTCCATTAATAATGATTAAAAAGGATTTAATTTGATTAGAAATCCCTTTAATTAATTAATGTGGTCCACCACGGATCGTGGACCCTTGCCTACACTAGAGTCATAAGCCCATTAGAAATAAAGAACCTCTAATGCAGGATGTTGAATACAAAGCGGTTGTTGATTAACATTTGGTGTAGAAAGCTCCCACAACGTTCTTTGTTCTTCGGCCATCACTTGCTCTACTTCGGGATCGCAGCAAAAAGCAGTTGATTCGATTGTGGTATTTGATTGAAGGGATGTTGATGAAAGGGCTTGATTTTTGCGCAACTTATTTCCTTCCTCAACCTTTTAGCAGTCTTCTCGATTTCAGGATCGTATTACAGTTGACCTGTACGAGAAGAACGTGACATAAAAATAAATCTATTTAACACCAATCCCCGGCAACCGCGCCAAAAATTTGATGGGTGTCGAAACCAACAAATAATAAATTACTTACTCTATAATTTGCAATAGTGATGAGGTAAGGTCGTACCCACAGAGATTGGTCAAACTTATTTTTAATCAAAGATTCAATGAAGAATGAGATGGGAATTGGAAATTAAATAGCAACAATAAAAAGGCAAACAATACAAAATATTAAATAATCAATATCAACTAGTATCCAACTCAAGGAATAATATCAATTCAATTCTAACAAGACAGATCATCGATTTCCAAGAAATAATTACTTAACGCTTTACCAAATTGGTTATGGTTATTAACAAGCTCTAATATCCTATCTTTCCTTACTTTGTCGATAATCAAAACAAGCTCTTTGATCACTTCCCTAGCTAATAAACAATCCTAAACAAGCTCTTAGGATTTAATTTACTAACAGCATTAAAAGAATTAGAAAGATTACCAATTCTAGCCAACAAACTCAAAAGCATGGTTAATTTAAACTAGACTATATATCTTCATAACATAAGATTGAAAATCTAATTTATAATCAACTATGTTATTTGCTACTAGCTTTAGAACACTTAAACAATTACGGATTCAAAGTTCTAATTAGCAATATAATAACTTGACAATAGAACAATGGGCCCTTTGCAACAATTAATCAAGCAATAATTTAAACTCAGATAACAGGAGATATATAAATAATAAAGTGTAGAGAATAAAATTAAGCTAAATAAATCTCACTGGTCTTGTAGAATCAAACTTCAATAATCCTTGAATTGGAAAATTCGAACTCAGCAGTACATTGCAGAGAGTGTTTACAGTAAAATAAAGTGATTCTGAACAAAAAACTGACTTTCTTTACTGAAAAAACCATCCCTATTTATACTAATTCGGGATCCCTAATCATCTCAAAACAACCCTAATTTCCCTAACATCCACAAATAAAATCAATGTCTTTCAACCATATAGAACCTAGAAAATAAATAATATCTATTTTCTAATTTCTAAGAAACCATAGAAAACCAGTAAGACAAGCTCCAACCTCTAATTCACTTCGTAGGAATTTGTGGATGTTGTTTGTAGAAGCTGCCTCAACCGTGGAATCCTTCATCACAATAGCCTATGGAGTTGCAGACGAAGTACTCATTACGCAGCAGTTCACGAACGTTGCAGTCGTCCATCGAAATCCACGTTGCAGCAGATCGCGGACGAAACACGTAGAAGTCGCCGTAGTCGCTGAAGCCTTCTGAAGTCTATGTAAGATTAAACATACCAATTTAATTTAAGAAAAGGCATAAAAGAATGTTAAAATTGAACTTGGACTTAACAATAAAATAAACAAATAAATTTTGGTTGGGTCAAAAGAAAAGTAAAGAGTCCACTTTAATTAACAAATGTAATATTTTTATTCTTAATGGCCTAAAATAATATGTAAACTTATTATTCAAGTAATTAATATATTAATACAAAATATAAATTCCTTTTGATAATGTTATTTAAAAACTAATCTAAATAAAAGATATAAATTGTACTTATCAAAATTCCCCACACTAATCATTTGCTTGTCCTCAAGTAAAAATATTAGTCAATAAAACTTAAATATATAAAAACTCATAACACTTCATGAACATCTCTAACACATTATAAATATAATTAGCTAGCAATTTATTTGAAAATGGATTGAACTAAATAACCAAGCCCTCACGGGAATATCACTCATAAGTCATAACGCACAAGTGTTTGAAGGGTGTGTGTATAAATTTCACTCAAATCAATTCCTATAGAAATGCTCTACCATAGGCTTGCATATCTTCTCATTCTCTACTACAAGATAACATGCATGATCAAATCATAAGGACTTTTTCATGGTTGTAATGGGGCTAGGGTAAAGGGTAGGAATCATTTAGGAAATAGTTCAAAAAGCCTTGAAAACTTAGAGGAGCATGATTGAATGAACTAATAATTCAAAATAAAGACCAAGTGAACCAAATCTCTTTAGTTATTTTTATAAAAATCACATCCACAAAACCATAAACTATTCACAGTTTATTCAACATGAAAAATAATTATAACAATAGAATAATAATAATTATTTTTTCCTTTTTTTTCTTCCGCGGTCACTTTTTCTCTTTTTTCTTTTCTTTCCTTTCTTCTTTTCATTTTCTTTTGATTCTTTTTCATTTTTGAAGAATCATTATATATAATTTTCCTTCATTTCTGCTTCAACAACAAATAACATACACTTTGTTCATCACCCATGCACTCTTCAATTTCTTTATTCTACTATTTTTTCCCTCTTTTTTTTTTTTTTTGAAAATACCAACCAAAAAGCTCATAAAATGACAAAGTCATTATTTCCACTAATAGACATTTCGCCAAACATCTTTCCCCACACTCACTCTTTATGCATTTACCCAATCAAAGCCCCCCTAGTCCTTTAGGCAAGGTTAATGAAATCAATTTCAGGTATGAGGCTTAATTATAATGTGGTTCCATAGAAAAAAAAACATGGTTAAAAAGGCTCAAAGTGGCTAACAAAGGATAAATCAATCATGGTATGAATAGGCTATTTGGTTAGTGAGGCTAAAAATCAAAGATGGCCTTAATCATATTAAAATCATGCAGGAATCAAATTAGCTTTAAAGAGAATCAAGGCAAGTTCTAGAGAGACAAATCCATGGAAGATATCACACAAGAACAAAACAATTAGATTGAAGTGTCAGTCAAAAGCTCAAAATCTCACAGGTTCATGCTTGCTTAGTTTAGCCACCACCATATAAAACAAAATACTAAACTAAATAATCATAATATGCAAGACCAATTATTCAATTATGTTATGAATTTTAGTAAAAATATTATATTTTTTGAAAAATTTATTAGTAGGGAAGAATTAAATCATGAATAATAGTCCCCTCCCCACACTTATTCTTAAAATTGTCCAAAATGTTAAAATAGAATTAAAAATTAAGGCACGTAAACAATAAAGAATGGAACAAACTCCCCTTGTCATAAGTAGCATGTCATTGGTTGGACATCATCTCCTTTCAATCTTCATAAACTGGGCATTGCAGACTAATTTCTTCAACATTATATGCCTGAAAACCTTCATAAAATGGCTTTAAACGATGTCCATTAACTTTAAAAAATTTTCCGGTCTCTGAACTGTGTATTTCAACTGCACCATGAGGAAAAACATTAGTAACAACAAAAGGTCCTACCCATCTAGAACGCAATTTACCAGGAAAAAGTTTCAATCTAGAATGATAAAGTAAAACTTTCTGACTAATAACAAAATTCTTCCTAGAATTCTTTTGATCATGAAATGCTTTTATTTTTTCCTTGTAAATTCTAGAGCTTTCGTATGCATCATTACGAATTTCTTCAAGCTCTTGCAGCTGCAACTTTCTCAACTCACCAGATTCATCCATCCTCATGTGCAACAGGAAGATGACACGGTTTACCAAATACCAAACGATAAGGAGACATACCTATTGGAGTTTTATAGGCTGTTCGATAAGCCCATAAAGCATCATCAAGTCGTGTACTCCAATCTTTCATGTTCGGGTTAACAGTCTTCTCTAGTATGGACTTAATTTCTTTGTTTGAGATTTCTGCCTGTCCATTGCTTTGTGGATGGTAACCTGTAGAAACACGGTGAGTAACATCATATTTTTTCATCAATGCTTCCACCACTCTGTTGCAAAAATGAGTTCCACGATCGCTTGTTATTGCTCTTGGCATCCCAAACTTGGTAAAAATATTAGATTTAACGAACTCAACAACAACTTTAGCACAATCAGTCCGGGTAGCCTTAGCTTCAACCCACTTTGACACATAATCCACAGCAAGAATAATGTAAACATTATTGTAAGAAGAAGGAAAAGGACCCATGAAATCAATACCTCAAACGTCAAATATTTCACAAACAAGAATAGGAGTAAGTGGCATTTGATCCCTATAACCCAAATTTCCAGTTTTTTGACATTGCGCACATGTTTTGCAAAACATATAACAATCACGGAATAAGGATGGCCAAAATAAACCACATTCTAACGCTTTACGAGCAATTCTTTTTGGACCAAAATGTCCTCTACATGCATATGAATGACAAAAATTCAAAATGGAAGGAATTTCTTCTTGAGATACACACCTTCGGATTATTTGATCAGAACAATGCTTCCACAAATAAGAGTCATCCCAAACATAGTATTTAGCATCACTCTTTATTTTATCTTTCTGAGATTTAGATAAATCAACTGGTAATGTTCTAGTAACTAAGTAATTCACAATATCAGCATACCAGGGAATCGTCTTTTGAACAGAAAAAAGATGTTCATCAAGAAAATCATATTGCAATGGCGAAGGTTTTTCACTTGTAATTATCCTACTAAGATGATCAGCAACTAAATTTTCTGCACCCTTTTTATCTCGTATCTCCAGGTTAAACTCTTGTAGTAAGAGCATCCACCGAATGAGTCTGGGCTTAGCTTCTTTGTTTGAAAGCAAGTACTTAAGAACTGCATGGTTAGAATAAACAATCACTTTAGTACCAAGCAAATATGAACGGAATTTTTCTAAAGCAAATACAATAGCTAAAAGTTCTTTTTCTGTTGTGGTATAATTGCTTTGTGCACTATCAAGTGTTCTTGAAGCATAATAAATAACATGTGAAGCTCTTCCAACTTTTTGGCCTAGTACACCGCCAACTGCATAATTACTGGCATCACACATAAGTTCAAATGGAAGATCCCAATTCGGTGGCTGAATTATTGGTGCAGATGTTAACATATCTTTTAGCGTATCAAAAGAATCTTTGCATGCTTCATCGAACTCAAATGTCACATCTTTTTGCAACAATCGACACAATGGATTGCTAATTTTTGAAAAATCCTTCATAAATCTCCTATAGAAACCTGCATGACCAAGAAAAGAACGAATCTCCCGCACACTAGCAGGGTAAGGCAAAGATTTAATAACTTCTACCTTAGCTCTATCCACTTCAATCCCTTCAGAAGATACCACATTCCCCAAAATAATACCCTGATCAACCATGAAGTGACATTTTTCAAAATTTAAAATAAGGTTTTTTTCAATACATCGTTCAAGCACTTTAGTGAGGTTAGCTAAACAGGCATCAAAAGAATCACCATAGACTGTAAAGTCATCCATGAATACCTCTATAAAAATCTCTACAAAATCTGAAAAGATACTAACCATACACCTTTGAAATGTAGCAGGAGCATTGCAAAGACCAAATGGCATCCACCAGAATGCCAAGGTGCCTGATGCGGCCCAACATATGAAGATCCATTAAGAGTACTAATTCGGCCAATCACAAGGCCCAAGTCCAAACAATTAAGGCAACTCTTCATTGATGATGTTCAAAGATGGTGGAAATCCAAGTCAAGCCCATTTGCAAAATATGAAGAATAACTCAAGGCTTTTTTTTTATAATTGTTTAAGTGCTGATTTTGGTGATTAAATTAGGCCCAAATCAGCCCTATTATTTTTGGTCATCATTAATTTAAATTGTTTGGCATAAAAGAGAAAACACTAGTTGTATTTAGAAAGGATTCCTTAAATCCTTTTCAAAATAAAACTCTATTTACTTGTTTTCTAGATTAGGTTTAGGACTCTTTTTCCCATTGTATTTAGATTACAATGCTGCCCTATACCTATAAATAGGGCACATCCATATATGTTTTAGGAGGCTTTAATTCAATAAAATTCTTAAGTTTTCCTTTACACTTGTGTAAGAAACCTTATGGCTAATTGTGGACTCAATTAGTGGCTAGTCGTGGACTCGACTAGCAAATTGATTCGTGGACTCGAATCAATCTTCCTTTCTTCAACCTTAGATTTAGGTTTGTGGACTCGTTCTTGAATCGAAGGAAACTAGATCCGACTCTAGTTGATTGAAGATTGCAACATCGTGGTACTTGAAGCTACAATGGGATTCTTCCAAGTCTTTGAGGATTCGAGACAAAGGGTTTCTCGTGAGGTCTAAGGTACTTTGATCCATCTCTATCTTTACTTTTGAGAGTAATCTTGGGACAATACTCCATTTATTTGAATCTTGGACTAGATTCATATCAATTTGGTATTCAGAGCCGAGGTTTATCTCGTTATCATTAGAAATTTGGTTTCTTTGGTTCCCTAGGTTTATCTTGTTCTTATCTTACATACTACTTTTATTCGTGTCTTATTCATTAAAACCCCCAAAAAAATTTTCCTTTGCATTCTTGATTATTTTCTTGAATATTGACACATGTTCTTTAGTTTCTTGAAAACTTATCCCGAAAACGTTTTCCTTTTTTTCCCGTCCAATATCAACGAGACCTCACACCTCCTAAGCACCATATTACCACATATTCTATCAAGAAAACAACCCCATCTCACCCTTACCTATATCCAAAGCGCATTTACACGCAATCACGTCTCAATCACACCCTGTCCAGATTTCCGCGAGCTGTGACCAGTTTCAAAGAATTATCTATATCTCGGGATCCACTGGTTAGTTTTATCTGAAATTTGGATATGTTGTAGATCTCTTCTGGGGCGTTCTATTGATATATTATAAACTTGCTAATTCCTTACGTTCATTGAGATATTGATCTTCGAAGTAAGGGCAGCGTTTCTGTTTTTCTGGGTGATTCTTGAAATTCTTGATTCTGTTTTGAAGTGCTTGTGTGGAACCACTTGGTCCGAAATTTTTGGTGATATTTAAAGTAATTATTTGGAGGTTATTTATCAAAAAAATAAAAAAAAAAATCAAGAAAGTTGAAAAAAAAAAAAAGCAAAAAAGAGAAAGCAATAAAGAAGAAGAATAAGGTTGGGGAAAGAATTTGGCTGGTAGGAGAATTTTGGAGGGACAAGGAAGGGGAAAAGTATAAGGTTGGAAGGAGTTCTTGATAGATTCCTAATTGATTGTGGTACACGTGAACCCCTTTTATTCTATTTGTCTCTATCTTTTGATATTGGTCTTGCATATCTTTCTGCCATACTTCATTCATTGGTTTCCTTTTTCTTTCAAATCTTGTTTAGTTTCTTTGCTCGTATTGTCCTTTTTCTTTGCTTCTTGCTCTCAATTTTATTACCTATCTCGCGATACACCCTTACTCTCAAAGGCTTGTGAAGTTTTCCAAGGTACGTTTTCTTGAACTTTGAGGTTGAATCCATATCAACTTGAGTTCCGAACTAGAATTTTCCTTTTTGGAAAAAGGCTTGTGAGAGTATCTGCCACCTTGAGCGATACACGAGTGGAGTGTGTGTTTGTAAGAGTGTATAGTGCACCCCAGAGCCATATAATCTACCTCTTACCTGCGAGCTGAGAATAGAGAGGGAGCGAGCCAACTTTTTGGTTTCACTAACATGAATACTCACATATCTTCTTGTTTTTAGATTTTGTTTCTCATCTACAGATTGCTGAAGAGGTTCCAAACACACGTAAGAGATTAGAGCAGAAAATAGATGCTCTAGCCTTTGCCATGGAAGGTTTAAGCACTCGAATGACTAATCTAGAGCAACACCCTAAGCGAGTGCAACTGCCACTCTATACTAGGGGAAACATTCATGGAAAGGGATGCATTATCGTTATCAATTCGGATCGCTGTATGAATTTAGCTAGTGCAGCCATGGTGGACTACCTTAAGTTACCTCTTATCAATCACCCCCAACCATATAATCTTATTGATTCTGGGGATGTGAGAGTGACTAAACAAGTTTTTATTCCTTTTTGTATTGGCAAGTATTATGATGAGGTTCTATGCGATATTGTGCCAATGCGTACTGCACATGTTTCACTTGGAAGGTCATGGCAACATGATAGACATTTTTATTATAATGCACTCAACAACACATGCAATGTCACCTATAATAGATTTATACATGTGCTTAAGCCTCTACTTCCAAAACAAGTAGAAGAAATTCAATTGAGATCGAAGCAAGTTCTCAAACCAGCATTGAAGAAAGAAGAAATCAAAGAGAGCAAACTGGAATCTCCACGTTTAGAATTGGAGTCACCACTCCAGTCCTCTAACTTAGATTGTAGCCAAACAAAGGAACCGCTATCAATGGTACAGTGGAAAGAACCAACCAGAGCTATCAAAGTGCAGCCTCGCTTGCTAACAAAAAAGGATAATAAGCAAGAGAAAAGAAGGGGAGTAACCATTTACTCACTTTTATTTCAAAAGCATGCATTCAAATTCTCTAGATTTGTTTGCCATGTTTCTATTAATGACTTACTTGCCAGATGTATTAGAAATTTGTTTGCCCCCATACATCCAAGATTCCTTAATTTTGATTTTACTAAAACTTTATTTGATAGAGATAAGGAATCACTTGGAAGTTATAAGGCACATTTGAAAACTTCTTATGGCAAATACCACTTGCACAAGGGGTTTGGGTTCAAAGTCAATGGGATTGACACTTTTTGCTTTGTTTTGGGCAATGATTTAATTGTTGATTCACATAAGGGACATTTTGATTTTCTAAAGAGTAATGATGTTTTGCATGAATATTTTCATTGGCCAAAGAAGAAAATAGATGTAGAAGCTTATGTTCAGAATTGTGCTACTTACCACCATAATACATTTAAATCATTACTTGATATTTCCATGAATTTTCTGTTTGATTTTACCTTAAGCTCTAGGAAGAAAGATTTTGTGCTTATTGACAATTCAAACAGGATGCATAAATTTAATATGTCTCATTTTGTTGAATTATTACCATCCAGAATGTTTAAATTCCCTGATGTGTCATTAGACTTAATTGCCTTACTTGTTGATTGTAGGATGATGATTGGAGCGACTCATGTCAAGCATCCCAAGAAAAAGTTCCATGAGCGTGATAAAACAGAAAGTGAGCTTGCTACTTTGTCTTTCACTGAAGATTTGGATTCGAGGACGAATCCTTTTCAAGAATGGGAGAATAATAGGAACCAGTACACATGGAATCCAGAAAGGGTAAATAGTGGGCTCATCACAAGGCCCATAACGACGACCTTAAAACATCATTGGTGGAAGAAACAACAAAGACCAATAATAAGTCCATTCGATAGAGGAAAATATTATAGTGGCCAATTTCAAGTGATATCATGGATCGATGACAATGCTTACAAGATTCGAGGTCGAATCATTTTCAAGAAGGGGAGGATGATGCGGCCCAACATATGAAGATCCATTAAGAGTACTAATTGGGCCAATCACAAGGCCCAGGTCCAAACAATTAAGGCAACTCTTCATTGGTGATGTTCAAAGATGGTGGAAATCCAAGTCAAGCCCATTTGCAAAATATGAAGAATAACTCAAGGCTTTTTTTTTATAATTGTTTAAGTGCTGATTTTGGTGATTAAATTAGGCCCAAATCAGCCCTATTATTTTTGGTCATCATTAATTTAAATTGTTTGGCATAAAAGAGAAAACACTAGTTGTATTTAGAAAGGATTCCTTAAATCCTTTTCTAAATAAAACTCTATTTACTTGTTTTCTAGATTAGGTTTAGGACTCTTTTTCCCATTGTATTTAGATTACAATGCTGCCCTATACCTATAAATAGGGCACATCCATATCAGTTTTAGGAGGCTTTAATTCAATAAAATTCTTAAGTTTTCCTTTACACTTGTGTAAGAAACCTTATGGCTAATTGTGGACTCAATTAGTGGCTAGTCGTGGACTCGACTAGCAAATTGATTCGTGGACTCGAATCAATCTTCCTTTCTTCAACCTTAGATTTAGGTTCGTGGACTCGTTCTTGAATCGAAGGAAACTAGATCCGACTCTAGTTGATTGAAGATTGCAACATCGAGGTACTTGAAGCTACAATGGGATTCTTCCAAGTCTTTGAGGATTCGAGACAAAGGGTTTCTCGTGAGGTCTAAGGTACTTTGATCCATCTCTATCTTTACTTTTGAGAGTAATCTTGGGACAATACTCCATTTATTTGAATCTTGGACTAGATTCATATCAGTGCCAAATGGGCAGGTGAAGGTCATTTTTTCTTGGTCTCCAGGTGCAACTGGAATCTGATGAAAACCTGAAAAACCATCCAGGCAACAATAATGGGAACGACCTGCTAAACGTTCAAGCATTTGATCAATAAAAGGGAGTGGGAAATGATCTTTTCTAGTTGATGCATTTAATTTTCTGTAATCTACACACATTCGCCACCCATTTTGAATACGAGTGGGCACCAACTCACCATTATCATTTTCTATCACTGTTATACCTGTTTTCTTTGGGACAACGTGCACAGGACTTACCCACTTGCTATCTGAGATTGGATAGATTATGCCTACATCAAGAAGTTTCAATATTTCTTTTTTAACCACTTCCATCATGGGTGGGTTCAATCGACGTTGGGCCTGTTTAGAAGGCTTACACTCATCTTCTAACAATATCCGGTGCATACAAGTAGAAGGGCTCAATCCCTTAATGTCAGCTATAGTCCAACCTATAGCTTGCTTATATTCCCTAAGCACTCGGACCAATTTTTCTTCTTCCAATGTAGATAGTTTTTTGGAGATTAGCACGGGAAGAGTCTCCTCATCCCCTAAGAATGCATACTTTAAATGATCTGGCAATGGTTTCAGTTCTATCTTTGGAGCTTGAACAACAGAAGGAAGGAGTTTTGTGTCAGATATAGGCAACTCAATATAATAAGCATTATATTTCATCGGCTTAAGTGACTCCAACTCATGTACAATATCTTGCAAATCAAAATTCAAAGAAAACTTATTTATGATTTTCTTCAACCCATCAGGGGTAAGATTCAAGTTCAATGCAACCTCTAAGGAATTATTATAAGTCAAATAAGAAATTTTCTGCACAAAAGGGTCAACAACATCTACTAGAGAAACAGACGATACATCATCAGGATATTTCATAGCATTATAAATGTTAAACTTAATGAGTTCACCATCAAATTCCATTGTGAGTGTACCATCATGCACATCAATTTTAGTTCTAGATGTTTTCAAAAATGGCCTTCCTAATAAGATTAATGAAGAATTAGTAGAATTATCTTCTTCCATATCTAACACATAAAAATTAGCAGGAAAAATCAACCCATCCACTTGCACTAAAACATCTTCTAAAACCCCCACAGGATAAACATTAGATCTATCAGCAAGTTGAACAATTACACCAGTTTCTTTTAAGGAACCAATATTCAAAGATGAATAAATAGATAAAGGCATCACATTAATTGAAGCTCCTAGATCTAACATTGCTCTTTCAACATTAACACTTCCAATTTTGCAAGGGATAGTAAACATACCAGGATCTTTACATTTAGGAGGCAACTTCTTTTGTAGAACAGCTGAAACAATTTCCCCCATGCTTACCATTTCATTGCCTTTCAATTTTCTTTTATTTGTGCACAACTCTTTAAGAAATTTAGCATATCGAGGAATTTGTTTAATAGCATCAAGTAAAGGAATATTTACCTCAACCTTTCGAAATGTGTCAAGTATTTCTTTTTCCTTTTCTTCATCTCAGTTGTGTCTGCTTTTCACTTGAGTAGGTTCTTGCAGCTCTTTTCCACTTCTCAAGGTAACTGCACTTGCATTTTGCTTTGGATTTACAACAGTTTGCGAGGGTAATTTACCTTGAGACTCCAATCTACTCACGGTAGATGCTAGTTGGCTCACCTGACTTTCCAAATGTTGAATACTTGCTCTTGTTTCTTGCTGAAATTGTTGTGTGTTAGTAGCAAGTGATTTAACAATATCTTCCAGTGACATACCTGAATAAGAGGATGATTGTTGTGAAGATGAAGGTTGTTGAATTGGTTATCTAGGTTGAAACTGTGGAAATTGTGGACACGGCTTATAGCTGAAATTTGGATGATCCCTCCATCCTGGGTTATATGTATTTGAGTAGGGATCATAATTTCTTTGTGGTTGGCCTGGGAATCCTCCAATTGCATTAGCTTGCTTACACGAATCGTATTGAAGTGTTGGGCACATTTCAGTTTGGTGTCCAGTAGCAGCACATATCCCACAAGCTTTTACTTGCTGCATATTTCCTACAGCTAACTGTTGAACAAGAGTAGTTAAATGAGATAGTTTATTTCAATGGAAGAAATGTTTACCTCGTTCACTCTTCTAGAAGACGTATCCTGTCTACATCCAAATTGTTGTGAATTGGCAGCCATTATTGATATTAACTCTCTAGCTTCTTGGGTAGTTTTATTCACTATAGTACCTCCACTAGCTGCATCCATCATTTTTCTCTCCATGGGAAGCAATCCTTCATAAAAGTATTGAATGAGGAGTTGTTCAGAAACTCCGTGTTGGGGGCAACTTGCACACAGTTGCTTGAAGCGTTCCCAGTACTTGTGGAGGGTCTCTACGTCTCTTTGCTTAATGCTACATATTTCTCTTCTAATATTGGCAGCTCGTGACGCTGGAAAAAACTTTTCAAGGAACAATCTTACCATTTCATTCCATGTGGTTATTGAGCCAGAAGGAAGGTAAAATAACCAATCCTTTGCTCTATAAGTTAGTGAGAATGGGAAGGCACGCAGTTTGATTTGATCTTCCGTTACTCCTTGTGGTTTGAAGCTTGAACACACCACGTGGAACTCCTTTAGGTGCTTATGTGGATCTTCATTTTCAAGTCCACGAAAAGTTGGAAGTATTGAATCAAACCTGAACGTAATTCAAAACCAACCTCTAATGTAGGATGTTGAATACAAAGCGGTTGTTGATTAACATTTTGTGCAGAAAGCTCCCGCAACGTTCTTTGTTCTTCGGCTATCACTTGCTCTACTTCGGGATCGCATCAAAAAGCAGTTGATTCGGTTGTGGTATTTGATTGAAGGGATGTTGATGAAAGGGCTTGATTTTTGCGCAGCTTATTTCCTTCCTCAACCTTTTAGCAGTCTTCTCGATTTCAGGATCGTATTACAGTTGACCTGTACGAGAAGAACGTGACATAAAAATAAATCTATTTAACACCAATCCCCGGCAACCGCGCCAAAAATTTGATGGGTGTCGAAACCAACAAATAATAAATTACTTACTCTATAATCTGCAATAGTGATGAGGTAAAGTCGTACCCACAGAGATTGGTCAGACTTATTTTTAATCAAAGATTCAATGAAGAATGAGATGGGAATTGGAAATTAAATAGCAACAATAAAAAGGCAAACAATACAAAATATTAAATAATCAATATCAACTAGTATCCAACTCAAGGAATAATATCAATTCAATTCTAACAAGACAGATCATCAATTTCCAAGAAATAATTACTTAACGCTTTACCAAATTGGTTATGGTTATTAACAAGCTCTAATATCCTATCTTTCCTTACTTTGTCGATAATCAAAACAAGCTCTTTGATCACTTCCCTAGCTAATAAACAATCCTAAACAAGCTCTTAGGATTTAATTTACTAACAGCATTAAAAGAATTAGAAAGATTACCAATTCTAGCCAACAAACTCAAAAGCATGGTTAATTTAAACTAGACTATATATCTTCATAACATAAGATTGAAAATCTAATTTATAATCAACTATGTTATTTGCTACTAGCTTTAGAACACTTAAACAATTACAGATTCAAAGTTCTAATTAGCAATATAATAACTTGACAATTGAACAATGGGCCCTTTGCAACAATTAATCAAGCAATAATTTAAACTCAGATAACAGGAGATATATAAATAATAAAGTGCAGAGAATAAAATTAACCTAAATAAATCTCACTGGTCTTGTAGAATCAAACTTCAATAATCCTTGAATTGGAAAATTCGAACTCAGCAGTACATTGCAAAGAGTGTTTACAGTAAAATAAAGTGATTCTGAACAAAAAACTGGCTTTCTTTACTGAAAAAACCATCCCTATTTATACTAATTCAGGATCCCTAATCATCTCAAAACAACCCTAATTTCCCTAACATCCACAAATAAAATCAATGTCTTTCAACCATATAGAACCTAAAAAATAAATAATATCTATTTTCTAATTTCTAAGAAACCATAGAAAACCAGTAAGACAAGCTCCAACCTCTAATTCACTTCGTAGGAATTTGTGGATGTTGTTTGTAGAAGCTGCCTCAACCGTGGAATCCTTCATCACAATAGCCTATAGAGTTGCAGACGAAGTACTCATTACGCAGCAGTTCACGGACGTTGCAGTCGTCCATCGAAATCCACGTTGCAGCAGATCGCGGACGAAACACGTAGAAGTCGCCATAGTCGCTGAAGCCTTCTGAAGTCTATGTAAGATTAAACATACCAATTTAATTTAAGAAAAGGCATAAAAGAATGTTAAAATTGAACTTGGACTTAACAATAAAATAAACAAATAAATTTTGGTTGGGTCAAAAGAAAAGTAAAGAGTCCACTTTAATTAACAAATGTAATATTTTTATTCTTAATGGCCAAAAAATAATATGTAAACTTATTATTCAAGTAATTAATATATTAATACAAAATATAAATTAAAGTTTAAAATAAGTATAATGTTAAATAAATAAAATTAATTTATTATAAAAATTAATCTAAATAAAAGATATAAATTGTACTTATCATGATGTGATGATTCTTGACGAATCTTGATATTTTCTTGATGTTAAAGATAAAATATGTTCTTGATGATTTGGGTGGGATTAGAGCCCTAGGTCGGATTGGGAATTTGTATTGTGACGTTCTTGAATTATATATGGGTGGGAATTCGCATGATCGGGTGTTGTTTATATATAGGATAAGTCCTACATGATTCTTACTTTTGATCCATTAATTGCTTATGTTGTAACACCCCAGATTTTCAAGACATTTAAAACTTATAATAAAGGTAGAATCTTATTAAATCCCAAGATATAAATACAAGCGTTCGGGGTGCTATGCCACACCTGGGCTAGAGAACCCAAGTGCACAGGCTAACTAACTAATATCCTCAAAGCGTAAATACGTAAACGTGGCACGCAGGCCAAAAGGGAAACTATCTACTTCTAAGTTCTAGCGCGCTCCAGTGACTTAATCTTCGGTGCCTGAAAGCCAAATATATCTGTTCAGCGAGAGATGCTGGTAACCCACTCCAACGCGTTGAAATACAATACATATAGAGATATATATAGATATACGAAAACCATTTTGAGCATGAAGATATATCCTACGAACTCTAGCTTTAAAACCGGGAATGACTCGACAGATAAGGTCAGACACAAGCAACAGTTATAACGAGCATATGCAGTTCACAACAGATAAGGTAGGCAAAGCATAAACAATGATCATAACCCAACATGAACAATCCCCAATATAAACCCCATAGTCACATCCCCCAAGACACTCGTAATCACAACTCGTCCATGTCACAACACATAACACACTTTGTTGGCGCCACAGGACCAATCGCATGCCCATACATGAGGGTCAGCGCATATAGCTCTTACACGACCCCGCAGCACCCTGCCCCGTATCGCAACACGGAGGGGTCGATCGCAACCGACCGATGAACCGCAGCTCATCATAGTGTTTGATCGCAACCAAACAGTGGACCGCAGCCCAAGAGAATGTCATCTGACCGCAGCCAGGAAAAAGGACGAACCGCAGCTCGTATAGAAACGTTTGATCGCAACCAAACGGTGGACCGCAGCCCAAGAGTATCAATCTGACCGCAGCCAGCTTCTGAACCGCAGCTCAGGATAACCAATCCGATCGCAACCGAATTGGGGTAACACACACATAACACATAACAAGCACATGCAACCCACATTACACATTAGGAAGGGGGAGAAAACGTATAACAAAACCTATGCGTGATCCATCACTTACTAAGAATAGTCCTAAGGGGTTCATACTTCTTCCACCTAGGTCAACGGGATACCAATTCAACTAGCATGCAATATAATAGACTCATAAACCTACGAACGGTACCCGAAACATCAAACTAGACATAGGCACGATAAACGGAGTCCATTGGGACACCACGGGGAACGGGGAACATCAAACGGGGAAGCCGGGATCCCGGGTGGGATGAATTTCCAGCGGGTAGCCGGTGGGTGGGGGGCCACCCGCTGGCTGCCCGCCGGTTTTACTGTTCCGGGCAGCGGGTCGCCGGCGGGCAGCTGCCCGCCCGCCGGCCACCCGCTGCCAGGCGGTGATTCTCGGCACCGGGTAGGTGGCGGGTCCCCTACCCCCCACTGACTCTTTTTCATCAATTGCACCCCGGGAACCGTTGTGGAACCCGAAACCATGCTTAGACACTTTACAACGCAATTAACGACAACGCATAGACAATTAACGGATCAATTACGAGAAACGAACGACACATATCCTATCATGCTTTTCTAAATATAATCAACACCCAAACGTGCGATTTCCCCACCCGATAAACCAAGAATAATATCATACGATACAACCTAGGGTTCTAATCACTTTTATATCAACAAGAATACGGTTCGTCTTCTAATTACAAGATTCGGTAAGAATAACGCATAAGCATCAAGAACAACACACAATTATCAAGAACATCACATAATCATCAAGAATTCCAAATAATCATCAAGATCCCCATGTAAGCATCAAGAACACCATAATTATCAAGAATCTCCCAACATCAAGATTGTCAAGATTCCTCATGGAATCATTATATCAATCATTAATAATAATCATCACCGATTAATACACAATAATATGGGGAAACCCTAAGGGGGAATCTTAACTATGAAAATAGGTTTTGTTGAGACATGGGTTACCTCTTAGCCTTAATTAATTCCTTGGCTATGAAGGATCTTTCTTTAAGCTTCCTTGCTTTCTTGATTTCTCCTATGGGGATTCTTGGAGCTCTTTTGGGGTGATGGGGCGTTAGACTTGTGGGAGGAGTTCTATGTGCTTCCTAAGTTCCCTATTTATAGATCTAGGGATCTTATTTAGGGTCTAATCCTATTGGGATTAGGGGTTGGGTTTATATAGGAGGGCCCATGGGCTACGGCGGGCCTTTTTCCCTAATTAATCATTATAATTTGTTCTTTCTCTTGGGCTATTATTTAATTAATTAATTGGTTTTAGGACTCGTAACACGGGGTGTTACATATGTGATGTCGTTATTTGCGTTTAAAAGTGTCTAAGCATGGTTTCGGGTTCCACAAAGGATCCCGGGACAAATTTGTGACGAATGAGTCAGTGGGGGGTAGGTGGGGGTGCGGAAACCCACCACCTACCCGCTGCCCAAAAGGGCGCTGCCCGGCAGCGGGCAGCCACCGGGCAGCCGGCTAAGATGTTCCCCGTTTGATGTTCCCCGTTTGATGTTCCCCGTTCCCCATGGTGTCCCGACGGACTTCCCCGTTTGTCGTGCCTGAGTCTAGCTTGAAATTTCGGGTACCATTCGTAAGTTAAACGAGTCTTAGGAATTGCATGCTAGTTGAATTGGTAACCCGTGGACCTAGGTGGAAGTTATATGAACCGTTAGGAATTACTCTTAGTATGTGAATGATCACATGTAAGCTTAACTATATGTCTCCCCCTTCCCTATGTGAGTTATGTGTTATTATGTGCTATTATGTGTTACGTGATGCATGACCCAAACTTGGTTAAGATTAATTGGGCTATACGGGCAGTTGAATGGGTTGAGAACCATCCCAACTGTTAACTAGGCCGGTTAAGATCGGTCAGGGATATTAATATGATATAGGACTGAGGTCCACTATACGGGCAGTTGAATGGGTTGAGAACCATCCCAACTGTTAACCAGGCTGGTAAAGACCGGTCAGGTATATAAAGATTATGTATAGGACTGAAGGTCCACATGGGCCTCGGTGATATGACCCACCGACTGGGACGCGCCAGGCGGTATGGGGCCAACAAGCCGAGGAAGGTTGTAGTCCACCGACCTGAGTAATCAGGCGGTGTGTAGGGCTACGATTGCTTGTGACCCACCGAGTGGTGGGACATCGGTATGTAAAACCGTAGTCTCCGAGGATCTTTGCCCACCGACTGATTTTAGCTCAGCGGTGTGTCGGGCTTGATCCGCTACGGTCCACCGATTGTGCGCATCAACGGTGTGTAGGGTCGTAAGTCCCCCCTTGTAAAGGGGATCGCGGTGCACCGACTGGGCGCGTCGGCGGTGTGTCGGATCGTGGTCCGACGTTAAGTTCGTCAGCGGTTCTCAAAGGGTTGGTTGCGATCAACTCCCTCGTACCACGGTACTGAGGTAGGGTGCTGCGGGGCCGTGTTAATGATATAAGCATTAACCCTCATGTTCGGGGCATGCGATTGGTCCCGTGGCGCCATCAATGATTATGTGATATGAATGATACTTGAATGATGATGTGTTTGAATTGAAAAGTAATCTGTGACCTTAGATGCGTATTCCTTATGATGTTATCTCTACTTAACTACTGTTTATCATTGACTAATGTGCTTGTCCCTATTTGTTGAGTCTATTCTTGGTTTTAAAGCTAGAGTCTCCTAAGTATATATCTTCCTGCTTCAAAATGATTTTCGTATATATATATATATATATATATATATATATATATATATATCGTATATATATCGTATTTCAACGCGTTGGAGTGGGTCGCTGAACAGATATTTTTGGCTTTCAGGCACAGATGAGTAGATCCCAGAGCGCGCTAGAGATTCGAGGCGTAGAGTAGCTAGTTTTCCTTTCGGCCTGCGTGCCGTGCTTATGTATTTACAGTATTGAGGATATTAGTTAGTTAGCCTGTGCACTTGAGTTCTCCAGCTCAGGTGTGGCATAGCACCCCGTTCTTTATTATACTATGCTTGGGATTTAATGAGAATTTACCTTTATTATATAAGTCTTAAAAGTTGAAAAATTTCGGGGTGTTACACTGACAATGTGCATAGAGGTATTGTTTCAAAAACATCTCACAAATTGAAAACGTCATAGATTGTTTGAGCACAATTCCTGAATAATATAAACAACAGCATACATTTTTTTCAAATACAAGCCTCTATCAATCACCACCGCGAGTTTAGAAAATTAAAGCACACAGTGCGCCCTTTCCACACTTTAGAACAAACATCGTCCTTGATATTCATTACAGTGCACGCCGTGAGGAAAAATTGAGTGGGTGATATACAAGTCCCTTTTCCACACTTTAGAAGTGCGCTGTGGGGTGTGGCGAGAAGACGGTGTTGAAAGGATGTAACAAATATGATACGAACCTAGTCCAAGGTTCAAATAAATATGGAATATTGTCCCAAGATTGCTCTCAAAATAAAGATAGAGATGGATCAAAATACCTTAAACCTCACGAGAAACCATTTGTCTCGAATCCTCAAAGACTTGGAAGAATCCCATGTAGCTTCAAGTACCTCGGTGTTGCAATCTTCAATCAACTAGAGTCGGATCTAGTTTCCTTCGATTCAAGAACGAGTCCACGAACCTAAATCTAAGGAAACTAGATCCGACTCTAGTTGATTGAAGATTGCAACACCGAGGTACTTGAAGCTACATGGGATTCTTCCAAGTCTTTGAGGATTCGAGACAAAGGGTTTCTCGTGAGGTTTAAGGTATTTTGATCCATCTCTATCTTTATTTTGAGAGCAATCTTGGGACAATATTCCATATTTATTTGAACCTTGGACTAGGTTCATATCAATTTGGTATTCAGAGCCTAGGTTTGTCTCATTATCATTGGAAATTTGGTTTCTTTGGTTCCCTAGGTTTATCTCGTTCTTATCTTACA